ATATTCATATATTAATTTTTTAACAATTTCAAATCTAATAATAGAGCACTTGTTGGTCTTAATCTTCAAGAAACACAGGATAAAATTGGAGGTCCAGAAATCATAGTTGAAATTGATAAAACTAAGATCAGGAAAAGGAAACATAATCATGGTCACCATGTAAAAGGTCATAGTTTAAAAAATTTTACTTCATTTCTATATTTAAATATTAAATATATATATATTAATCTTTTCTCTTCTAGGTGTTTGTGTATTTGGTGGTGTAGAATGGACTACTGAAAGAAAAATATTTGCCAAGGTTGTTAGCAATAGAACTCCTAAAATATTGCTTACTGAAATAGAGAAAAATATTAGCTCTGGATTTATAGTATACTCAGATATGTGGCACTCCTACTTTAGAATAAATTCTGAATTGGGATTTCAACACCATATAGTTAATCATAGTCTTTATTATGTTGACCCCAATATGTGTGTTTATACTAATACTATAGAGGAAACATGGAATGGAATTAAACTTCAGGTTCCCCCAAGAAATTGTACTGAATCAGAAATCCCAGGTAGGGTTATATAATTACTGTGAAAATTACATAAAATCTATTTACAAAACTTATAAAAATTGTAATTTTGCAATATGTATAACTATAATTCTAGGCCATTTACATGATTATATATAGAGAAGACAAAATAAAGGTAATAATCTTTGGGAAATTATGATAAATTGCTTAAGAAATACTATATTTCCCGAAGAAGAAGAAGAATGAGATGAAATTGAAAATATAGAAGAAATTATGGACAGAGAAGAAATAAGTAAAGGAGAAGAAAGAGATGAAGAGAAAGAAAGGGAAGATAGTATTGAAGAAATAGAAAATAAAAATAGAAATCATAGAAATTATGAGCGATGATAGTATAGAAATCATAGAAATTAAAGCAATCATAATATATAAATTGGTAAAACAAAATTCATACCTGAAAATATTAATACAATAATTGAACATGTAGAGAAAAAATCTAAGCTTTATTATCGATTCAAATTCTAAGCACAGTATAATGAGGCACAATATCGCATATAAATAATGTTATATACTACTTGTTAAGTAGGCAATGGTTATTAATTATACTTTATCCTTTGATTATGATATACAATATGTAGTTAATACTAGTTTGTATTAGTATTATTATTAATGTCTACTATAATTACTGTAAATTATGTGTATTATATGCATTTGTTATTGATAACATTGAAATCTCGATTAATCTATGATGTTTAAATAACTATTACAAATTTAATTAATAAACTTACTTGCTATAGCGGTGGCAACAGTATGTAGTTAATCTTGTATTGGCATTGTCTATTATAATTTACTATAAAAATTTAGACAAAAAGCTTGCATTATGTTAGTTTGTATTGGCATTATTGCTAATATCTATTGTAATTTACTGTAAAAAATAAGAAATTTATGTAGTAAGATATAAATTAATTGAAAGTGATTTATAATATAGCAATTGGTTAAATCTTTTATATTCTTATAAGTATAATCTATTGTTAACAAAGTGATCTCTAAAACAATATATATAATAAGAAAGCAAAGCAAACTTTCTCCATTTTGTATATAGCAACTTGTAATATCTAGGGTTCCTACAAACCCGGATCAAATCAAACTTTAGGCCAAGTTTGAGTTTGATTTGATTTCAAATCAAACCCGATCTCAAACTAGCATTAAAAAAAATATTTGAGTTTGATTTGAAGCAAACTTTTT